CCGTCCCAGCGGCGCCTCCTCCAGCACCCGTCCCAGCGGCGCCCGCCCACCCGCGCCCACCCGCGGCGGGCCGCTCACGTCTCTGGCGCTGAGTGCAGGTGAGGCCCGGGATGAGGAGGGACGAGCAGCCGCGACACAGCGTCCTCTTCACCGAGGGGTCCCTGCGGGGAGGGGCAAAGGTGAGGGGCGTCCGCGCCTAGCCGCCCGACCTCCAGCCCCGGCCCGCGCAGCCTCACTGTCGCAGCACGAGGCGCTTCGCTATGGTCCTCTCCGTGTGGCAGTAAAACCTCGCCAGCGCCTGGTTCTCGGGGTCCTGGGCGAGGACACAGTGGGCGGCCTGGGGGCGAAGAGCGGTCACTCAGGGGCCGGCTGTCCAGGCTCCCTTCCCGAGAGGCACCGAGCGCTTACCTGGTACAGGAAGCTCAGCCTCTGGAAGGCCTCGCGGTCCTTCACCGGGCCCGCCATGGAATCTGGCGGCCACGCCCCCGACTCGCGCAAGTGCTCCTGGGAAGCGCAGCATCTGGGTCCAGGGCCTTCCTTGTCCCCCTTTGCAGGCTCCGCCCCGGGGGTCTCCGCGGCACACCTCACCAACCCCGCCCCCGCGCAAGGATTTATGGGAAATGTTTGGTCTGAGTCCTCACTGGCCCACCTACGTGCAATCCACGCCTCCCGTGCAAGGCCTCCTGGGAAGTGTAGTGCCAGGGCCCAAGACCTCGATTCCGTCTGTTTGCAAACCCCGCCCCAGGGTGCAATTGAGTTTTGGATCTTTCCTTTTGACCTCAAATCCATGATCACATAAACTAGAGAGTAACGGAGGAATTGATCTTAAAACTGCTAAACATTCTCAGGAAAAATGTTTGGATTTTTCATGAAGATAGGGTGGGGAGTTGGTCATGCCCCATTTACAATCAAGTAGACCTTCCGCCCTGCTCTCCTGATGCCAGACAGGTAGGTGGCTCCAGGTTCTACGGACTGAAAGAACTGTCGTGTGAATAAAAGAAACAAAACAAACAAGAAGTGCTGCCCATGGGGGTGAACGGGGGAAGGATCTCAAGGGTGGCAGATGGAGGCTTGTCGGTCTCAGAAGGCAGTTACTTCCACTTTTCCACTTACCAGACACACACACTGGCCATTACTGAGCTGAATATCCAGTAGCCGATCCTTCACCTTGCTGTTTCCAACTCCTAGGGGCAGCGCAGAAACCTGTCCAGAGCATGCCCACTCCACACTCTCCTCTGACCTGCGTCTCTCATTTCTTCTGTCAATTTGCCTAATTTTGCTAAGACTAGCAGTTCCTAAGGTCAGAACCAAGAGGATGCCAGCCAGCCAGCCAGAATAGGACTCAGAGAGAGAGAAGGGGATGACCTCCCCGGTCAGAACCTGGCTAGGCTGGGCAGAGAATCCAGCCTGCCTTAAGCTCTGAGGAAGAAAGTGAGCAGAAACCTCTTCTGGGTGAAGTTTAAGACAGAACTTTTGCAGGCCAACCCAGACCGGGGCCAAGTAGTGGCCAGACCCTGGAATACGTATTTTTCACTCGGCGATTCTGCACATCAACATAAGGAAGACCATTAACAAATCACCACATGACACAGAGGTCACTTCAGTGGATCCTTTGCTCCATATTTTACCAGCCAAAGCCTCCTGCCACAAAGAACCACAGTCAAGGCACAAAGGTTAGAAGAGGAGAGGACACAGTCCTGTTGAGGTGGTAGGAGGAACCGAAATGCCCGCAGTTCACTGCAGTTTCTTGTCTGTCTTCCGTGAAGCAGCAGACAATCCAGGTTTAGTTTGGTTTGCATGCATCGTTTTACCTTGATGACGTACGTACCTTGCAGGTTTGTTTTGGCCTAACATTAAAATGACATACATTCTCTGATGGCAAAGGGTGAAGTATGGTGACACACATGTGAAAGGCTATCATGAACATTGGTTCTGGGTCAGACGCACAGGCGAAAGGCAGTTGTCTGGCTCTTCCCGACACACATCACCCTCTTCTACCCTGTTCTCAGGGTGAGAGAGATTCTATTACCTTTCTTTCCCTTTGCACTGGACACCTGAGCCAAGTGACAAAGCTGACAATTTGGGAGCAGCAACTGCGTAACAATTCTTAGGGCCAGAGCTTCAGGCAGATAACCTTTCTTTTTCCTCTAATACCTGCTCTTCTCCACGCTCCCATGGGAGAATGGTGGTGTCCTGCAGGACCTCGTCTCTTAAGAGGAGCGTGGCGAACAGCCCCTTGGACTCAGCTGTGAGGCAGCAGTGCTGAGCCAGCTCTGCTGAAGGGTGCTTCTTTCTCCTACCCTCTCCTCCTCCCCACATTACCTCTGGCCAATCCTACTCGTTACAGCAGCCTTAGCCTGGGAACAGAAGACTAAAGAAACCTCTCTCCCTTCATTTTTTCTAGGAATCTGCTCCTTTAGCTCTATTCCTGATCTTTCTTCTAACCTCCATATTGCAGACTCTGCCCCCAGACAAACTCAACTTCTGGACCAAGGATGGTAGCTGTCGTTCAATAACATCCATCTTGAGGTACAAAGACCCCTGTAGCTTTCCTCAAAAAACAAATCATTCTGGGTCAAGGAAGCCCCTAGAAGCTCGTTTTCTCCTCTGGCTTCGGCGAAATGAGACCCTCCCACAGACTTTCTGGACAAGCCTCTGCTTCCTTCTCAACCTGTCCCTGTGCAACTAGAAAACCTGACGGACGTTGGGGAGGTTATCCCCTGGGGACCACTCCCCCCGACAGCAAGGAGGGAGACACTGGCGTGCTCTGTCATGCAGCCCAGTCCTACGTGCTTCTCCACGGAAACCACCCTAGAGACCAGAGTGTTTCTCCAGGACGACTCAGGACTGGAGCCAGGCGACACTGAGCTGTTCCAACAGGACGCAGCCCACAGCCCCGGACCCTGCTTTGCCTACTGGACCCCACACACCACCCTGTCACTCCCAGTCTGTTGGAGGCCGGATGGTCAGTGGTGCAGCATTCTTCCGACCAGCCCTGATGCCTGGGTAGAAAAGAGGCCAAAGTTTTTCAGTAAAAGTATCAGTGAATGTGTAGATATGTGAGCGGTCTGTGACGTTATAAAAAGACAGCGTGCCAGCCTCGTAGTCTAGAAATATGCCCACCCGCTTGGGCTTCACCTTGATGTGCAGTGGTGTGAAGGGTGTTGTGGTGGCTGCGTACTTGTCCCCATTCCACAGCCGTACCCGCCAGTAGCCAGTCTCGGGAAGTGGAGTCAGTTCGCCCTTCCGGCTCACAGAGTCCCGGCACACACCCACTGCCCAGTGGGTCTTGTCGCCCACTTCGACCTCCCAGTAATGTCGGCCTGAGGTGAAGCCTTCAGTAGCTAGGACACAAGGGTAGAAGGTGAACCGGCGTGGAGTGTCGGGGAGATCTCGGAGTCTAGTCTCCACAAACTTGACGCTTTTTCGATCCTCCGACAGGACTAGGTTAGGATGGGCGGTCTCAGGGTCCAGGGTCACATCCGCTGGCGGGAGAAGCCAGAGTGGGGAGCTAGATGAGGACGGGAATAGCTAAGGCCCCTGCCTCGCCTTTCCAGCCTGCCTCACAGAGCCTGGTTCCTTCAAGGGCCCAGAACACTGGGTGGGTTGGTAAGGGGAGGGAGCGATGGCTTTATGTCCTGCTGACCCTACACGAAACGACCACGTCTGGACTTTGCAGGGCTGGTAGTCCTGCCTCTGGCCCCTCCCTCTCCCCATCTTCACTATCACTTATCTCACAGTGTGGAGAAGCATAAGGCACAGTCCGAGGATGTGTCTGTTTCCTCAGAATCATTTATGACTATTTTCCCTCCTTATTAGGGAGACTCCTTTTCACTTAGGGTTGTCCCACCTGAGACAATCACTCTGCAGGATGACCTAGGTAAATTACTTTCCCTTTCTGTGTGCTGACTTAGGAAAGGGGGGACCTAAGAGTAAGTGATGTCTGAGACCTCTTCTGACTCTGAGTTCTGGGACTCGGAGTGAGACTGAAGCCAGCTATGGGCAGGAGTGGGTGTGGCGGGAGGTAACCAGTGCAAGGAGGAGCTAAGGGTTTTCTCCTTGGTGATTCCTTTTTACTAGTGTTCTGGAAACAACTCACCAATTAGCTGTTTAAGAATTTTCCTTAGGGCAAAGTACTGTCGGGGGAAACTGCTGAAGTTCTTTTCCAGCTCTATGGACACTGACGTCACCTCCATGGTCTTCACCTTCTCACATCTAGGAGGGACAAGGAGGTGAGAGGAAAGGACAGGTCAGGGGTCCAGCCAGGGGGTAATCAGACGCTGTGATCTTCAGGGAGAAACCAAGCTAGCTGCTTCCTACTTCTTCCAGAAGATAACTACTTACTTTCACCCCCCAGGCAAACCTTGATCTCTAAACTGAGCCTCAGGACTTTCTGGGGGGCATTCTTGTCTTTCATGCAAATGGTCCTCCCCCTCCCCCTCAGCCCCTGCCCAGTTACCTTGTTAGGATACAGTTCTATCTACAGGGACACAGGGACTTTATCATCACTCTCTCACCAACCAAGTCTCCATGCTCAGCAGGTCAGGGTAAGGATGGCTGTGCCTAAGGGTCTGTTTTCTACCTCACCTCCTGGGTGAGAGGGCCTTTTCTGTGTTCTGCCAGACACTGGCTCACTTTCCCATCCTTACTCCCCCCAGCTCCTGACTGGGTTCCTTAGTCTCTAAGCCATGGCCTCACTCACTCAAAGAGAGGTAAGAATCACTTACTTTTCCAGGGTACTTTTGACATCCTAGAGGGAATGAGAAAGAAAGAGAGATTGGTCCTGGCATTCAAGGGTCCTGAAGGCAAAAGGTTCCCTTTCCTCCCCAAAGCTTTAGGTCTATAAAACAGGCACAGGGCAAATGGAAAAATCACAACGCAAAGGGAAGGGCTCTAGAGGTCTGAGCCCACTTCTTCCAGCCTATGCTCACTTTCAACTGCTGGTCCTCATGAAGCTGTGTAATTTACATCTCATCTCAGTGGTTTCTTGTATGTTTGCCCAGGCTTCCCGCAAGGGACAGGAGTTGTGTCTGCTCTTTACTCTGTCCCCCAAGTACCAGCCACACACCTCAGTGTCCTCGAGGATCAGCACAGGTAATTCCAGAGTGGTAGTACAGGAATGAACCACACTTCCCCACTGTGGTTTGGCAGCTCCTATCTGGCACTGGTTAACAAACAGTAAATGTGTGCCAATCCGATTTGAGAATACTTGGGGTTCAGAAGACAAAGAAGACAAACCTCTGCCCTGTGTGGATTTCCCAGTTTAATGTGGAAAGTGGAACACACGTAACGAAAGGACAAAGGAATAGATACCAAGCAACAGAGCACGCAAATGCACAGTGAGGCCTCCCTGACTGCAGTGCTGGTCTCTAGGAGGAAGGTCTGAGCTCCCGCCCCGCTAGCATCAGGAAACATCCTAGAGGCGTCGCTGGCATAACAAAAACAGTATTATTTACACATAACTTTAGGTATCCTTTAAAGTCTTCTTTTTAAGCACTAGATAGATCAAGTTATAGGACTCAAAAGTAGTGGCAACCACACTCACACACTTAGAATGCAGTTTACACTTAGCGGGTTAGATGACTTCTCAAAGGAGTCCATTTTTCCTTTGGTACCACATAATTGCTGATGAGACACAGTAACACAAAATGATCAGAATGTTATGCGGGAACGCGGAGACCTTTCTCTAGAAAAAGGTCCTCTGCGTCTGGAAGGACCGTGCCCTGGGAAGCCAGCGAGCGGCGCCCTGGGCAAAGCTACACTGTGCATGCGCGACCCGAGGGGCTCCGCAGGGTCCCGGGCGAACCTTAAGCATCTCGAAGCCCGATTGCAAGCACTTGCCCTCCACCTCGGCGGCCAGGTGGGCCAGGTCCCGGCGCTTGTCCCCGAGGAGGGCGGCGTTCTCGCGCAGTCGCTGTAGGATGTCCTGCTCCTCCTCCTCCAGCCGCGAAAGCAAAATCTGCTGCTCCTCGTCCAGCCGTCTGTGAAGCTCTTCAAACTCCTTTAAGATCTGCTGCCGGCGACTCTCCACGAGTCTCTGGGGAGAGAGGAGCGCTGGGGTAAAGGCAGCGGGCCGGCCGACTGCGCAGACCCAGGCCTGAACCGCCTCCTCTCACCGCGCGGCTGCCACCCCTCGGCGGGGTGGCTTGGGAGAGGCAAGAGTAAAAATGCAGTCTTTTAAAAGCCAGTTTTTCCTCAGTACATTCTCGAAAGATGGTCCTTTTATGTTGTAATACAATATATTGACGACTCAAGTACTCATTAACATAAGAGATTAACTAGATATTTCTTCTATTCCCAACTCCAAAGTTTAGCTTATGCAATCTGTTAAGAAAAGTACAAATACCAGAAAATTAAAGATAAGATTGTCATTATTTGTATAAGACTAGCAACTGGTAACAAGCAGAGAGCTGGCATATTCTCAAGAGTCACTAAGCTTGTAACAAAGCATGCATGCTGACTTGAGGGCCGAGTCTGCTGGGTCTCCATTTCAGGAAGAGGTTCTGAAGATTAATAAAGCAGTTGTTCGAAATTTGAAACACACTTTGTCTATGCCAGCACATAGACTTAAACCTCTGGCACTCTGTTCTGGTGGTGGTGGACTGGGGATTAAACCAGGGCTTTTGCCATGAGCTACACCCACAGCCCTCTTTAATACTTTTTTTAAAATGTTGAGACAGAGACTAAGTTGCTTCGGCTGGGCTTGAATGTGCTAGTCTCAGCCTCCTGAGTACTGGGACTACAGGCCTGAGCCACCAGGCGTGGCTAAGATTGTATTTTCTTTTTTTTTCTTTGGTGGAACCAGGGATTGAACTCAGGCCCTCGTGCTTGCCAGGGACGCACTTATTCCACTGAGCCATCTCCCCGGCCCCCTGTATTATCTTAAACCATTACCAGACTATTTTGACAATTCATGTCACCAGGAGGCAAGCTGCTGAGTCTCATGAGCCCCAGTGTGACCTCTCTAGCACTGTGGGCTGTGGCACATGTGGTAGGTGCAACCCTGTCACTATGCTGTAGCCTGTCAGGGCAGTCAGGGCCTAGTTCTACACATTTTACTATCCTGTCGTAGTATGTGTGGTCGTGCTTGTCTGTCTAAAGACAACACAGTTATTTTATCCATAACTGTCACTTCGGGGCAGTGAATTACACTTCATGCATCACTGTGTGGTGGGGCTGAAGGGCTGGACTAGGGAAGCTCTCTGCCGCCGAGCTGCCCCTCCAGGCCCTGCACACTATTTCTAAAGAGGGCTCGCAATCTGATTTGGAGGCAGAGATGACAGGGAGGAAGAAGAATTCAAATGGTTCCAACAGGAAGGTTTTCTGTCAGTTTCTGAGACCAGTGGGATGATGGGATGATAATTTATAATAAAAAAAGATAGCTCTATTAAGCTTTGTTAAGTTTTTAGGAGATTTTATCTTTCTTTCCATCATTGTTTAAGACAGGGTCTCCTATGCAGGTTAGGCTACCCTCAAACTCTTAGCAGTCCTCCTGCCTCAGCTAAGGCTGGGATTAGAGGTGTGTGCCACCATGCCCAGTTTCCCTTTCTATACCTCCAAGAGGTGACCAGCAGTAGAAGGAAAATCAGGGCCAGGAGGTGGCACGTAATCTCTGTAATCTTAGCACTGGGGAGGCTGAGGCAGGAGGATCGTTACAAGTGAGCTCAAGGCCAGCCTGAACTGCATAGGAGACCCTGTCTGGAAAGAAAGAAAGAAAGAAAGAAAGAAAGAAAGAAAGAAAATCAGTGATTAGGAATCAACTGTACATATTTTACATATTTTAAAATTCTCAGGTGTCATCCAAAAGGACAAAGAACTATTGTTTAAAAAGTTTATCTTTGTGCCAAAAATTCACATTTTAAAAATTAAAATGTTTCCTTTGGTAAAACAGATAAAGCACTAAAATGCATACTTCTTTTTGTTGGAAGACTGCCATTTCTTTTTAAAAATATTAGCATTTCTTTAATTTTTTACTGTTTTGTATCTGATACAGGGTCTTGCTCTGTGGCTCAGACTCAGAGTGAGCCTCCTTTTTTAGCCTCCCCAGCACTGGGATTACAAGTGTGTGCGTGCCACCAGACCCAGTTTCAGTGGCTGGCCCAGCTCGGGGGCTGGTTTTGCATGCAGTGCCGGTGATCAAACCTGAGTCCTTGTGCTTGCCAGGCAGGCACTTAGTCTGCTAAGCTATCACTGTGGCCCAAAATATTAGTATTTCTACTTTAAAACTCGTATTTCAAAGGAGCCAAGGAGATAGCTCAGTCAAATAAGCGCTTGCCTGGCAAGTGCAAGGTCCTGAGTTCAATCCCCAGGACCAGAAAACAAACAACAAAAAAACCCCTTGTATATAATTTCTTGAATCTTAACTTTCAAAATTTGTGACTTCTGGGGGCCTTTAAGAAGGTCAGACTGCTCTGTTACTTTTGAACTTAGAGCTGTGTTTTTGGTGCTAGGTCCTTACCTATTCTCTACACCTGAGGAAGACAGAGACGTGTCCGCTCATCTTGGTTCCCCAGTGCCAAACGCAGGGTCTGGCCGATTCCGGTGCTGAACATGTATGTGCTGGCCCCTGAGGAACAAGTGCCCCTTCGGCTGTGGCTCTGCCACTTACTGGCTGCGAGGCTCTTTGGCCAGACACTTCGCTAGGCCTGTTTCCTGTGTGCAGGGGCCACGATACCGACCTCACTGAGCATCTAAGTCAGCCTGCGTCAGAGGTGGCCACGGGGTCTTTTCCTTGTCGTGCAGCTTCTCTATGCCCTTCTTGTCCCAAGTCTGTACTGAACTCTTAGACCTCCAACCTGGGCAGAACCCTAAGGTTTACACAGTCCTGTCAATTTGGAATTTCATGAACAACCCATAAATTACTGCCAGAACTCAATACTAGCTATTATTTTTGCTTCTACTGATTTTCACTGTCCAATAGAATAATTTAGATACCAAATATCATGCTACAAATACAGTAATGATATAAAAAGATGTAAAATTATATGAAATGTAAGAAAGTTAACTTCTAAAGGGCCAGGAAAGGTTGCATAAGAAACTTTTAGCCAAGGATAGATGCCAGGTGAAAGAGATTTATAGGTAAGAAGACGAGGATGAGGATGAGAAGGTCATTCCAGGAAGGAACCAACATAATCTAACTTATGAGTGATAAGAATGTGGCCCTAACATGACCAGGCAGTTCCTGAGGCTCTTGGTGAGTCCCCAACCTCGTTCTTCCCTGTGAAGTTTCTAGATAATTCTCCTTAACCCCCCTAAGAAATTCCTATCCCTGGTTTTGTTTTGTTTTTATGACAGAGTCTTTCACGGTAGCCCAGGTTGGCCTTGAACATGGGGCAATCCTCATGCCTCAGCTTCCAGAGTACCAGGATCACAGGCCTCACCATTTCTGGCCTACCTTTGCATTCTGGCAGAGGCTAAGGGGCAAAATCTCCCTCAGCTTATCAGAGGTAAAATACTTCATCTGTCCTTCAGCTCTTACTTCCTTATCCTCAATACTTAATTCATGACAAGTAATTTAAGTACAGTATGTCCTGACAACCAAGCCTAATAAAATGTCATCACTTCTGAAAGAACATATTTCTAGGAAGTGCCTTACCACTAAGCTATATCCCCACCAACACTATTTTTCTAAAAACCAGAACTGGATTCATTAAATTGGTGGCCACAACGAAGTGCGCTAATTCCCTCCCAGGCAAACGCCCTGCACGGCAGCACGAGCCTGACCGCCTGGCTTTACCTTGAGTTCCGCAGGCTTCTTCTCCTCGGAGGACTTGCAGCGGGTGACTTCCTGCAGCTTCTGCTCCAGCGGCTCCAGGCACTTCTGCAGTTTCTCCTGCGGGGGCAGGGAGTGGGAGAGGTGACGCGTGGGCAGGAAGTCCACACTCAGAGGTTATTGGTGTTGTTATGTTATGGTGCCAGGATCAGACCCAGGCCTGCCCAGCAGGCGCTCTACCATTAACTTCGCCTCCAACCTCATCACTTCCCTCCTACCCAGTGCACTACCTTGTGATCCAACCCTTCCTTGCTTCTCTACCTAATTGGAGAGGTTGGCTTCCTCTTCTCTACCACCAGCTTCCTGGCTCACCAATTCCCTCCCTCTGAACCTGATAGTTGTCGAGCTGCTACCAAGCTGTGTTCTTCCCCAACTCTGCCCACTTCTTACGGTGGTGATGCTGAGGACTGAGCCCAGAGCCTTGTTCACGTGGGCATATGCTCTTCCACTAAGCTATGACTCCAGTCCAGAGCTACTCTTTGTACTCTTCTATTGCATCCTTCTTAATGAACCTCACAGCCAGTTTGCACCATTTATAAAATAAAACTTGATTCCTTATGCAGTAAATTACCTTAAACCCTACCTTGAGATTTTGCTAACAAAGTATACAATAAACTAAAACCTCCAGTTTCTATTACTCAGACACTTGTGCTGTGTCCCAGCAGTAAGTTAAGCCAAGTGCCATACTGCCATTATTTGAGCAAGACACAACAAGCTCCATCTGGTGGGGACAGTCTGAGGTGATGTTACCTATCCCAGTACAGTGCCAGTGGGAGGTATCTCCAGCAGGGAGACGGAATGAGAAGCCTTAATACTTTTCAGTTCTTCCTAAGTTTAATCTCCATATGGATTTATTCATGTATGAAACATATATATTCCAAGACCACACATACCAATATTCACCATAAGATTCAAATGTGTTGCAAAACTTCTGGCACCCCCCTTCTTCTCCGTGTAGAGGACAAATGACCAGTAGTACCAGGTGCTGAGTGTCCCTGTACGCTGCTCTGGACCTAGAGTGAGGACCAGATGGCCTTGCCCTCAGGAACTTAAACCCAGGAAGCATGGCAAGCTGTTGCTCCTCCCTTTCCCCACTTTGGCGCCACTGCCTGGCTGCCCACCTTGTATTCCTGTGTTGCATCGTCCAGTGGCACGACAGTGTGGGCCCGGTGGGTGTGGGAGATGGCACATATCAAACACACAGCTTCCTGGTCCTCATAGCAGAAGAGGCTGAGCGCCTCGTGGTGCTGGGGGCAGAGGCTCTCATCCCGGATCTTCCTCTTGACGGCCTGGAGCTGCTTGGCAATCTCCACCATGCTGCCTAGCTGCCGATTGGGCCGGAGGCTGCGGTAGCGGGATGTCTTCCGGCAGACAGGACAAGGGAAGTCCCTCTCCAGGTCCTCCCACCAGCGCGTGATGCAAGCTTTGCAGAAGTTGTGTCCACACTCAATGATGACAGGCTCCTTCAGATACTCCAGGCATACAGAGCAGCTCGCCTCTACCTGTAAGTTCTCCAGAGCTGCAGCAGTGGAGGCCGCAGAGGCCCCAGCCTCTAATAGATTTGTCTCTTCCATTGTTCAACTTGAGGGTGGGGAAGGAGACAGAGAAAGGAGAAAAATTAGCTGAAGGCTGAGGGTTTATTTTTTTTAATTTCTGGCCTGACATTTACCCCCATGTTAAAGATGATTAACTCCAGATCTAGCTCAGCTTCCTATTTTCCATCTCTTCTACTAAATTCATCTTTACATCTCCATTTCTCAAACTTGTGACTTCCACCATCAACCTTTTTCTCTTCAGCAAACTGACACATAGCCCTCAATCTCTTCTCTTCTGCTCACTCATTAGAAGTAGAGGCTTCCTTCGGCTCTGGCCTCTCATACTTCTCCTGGTCCGGGCTCATTTGACCTCTTAGACCCAATGGGTCTGGACCACTGAGTCCTAGGTAACATATTTACCATAAGGAGTGTGGGAAGTGAGAAGGGCCACGTACAGCAAATATGGACTCATTGAAGTCTAAATCACAGAAAGAGAACCTTACAGCCCATTGGAACCTGAGCTAGAGTCTCCGACACACCTCTCTTTCAAAGGTAAAGAATTTAATGAGTTAGGCAAAGGTAACAATCTCTTTCCCAGAAAATCTGAACTGTTTTACACAGTTCATTTGCAGTTGTGCGCATCTGAACATTTGGAATTGCTGAACACTGATAAATACATAGTGATTCCTCTAGAAAGCACACTATTGAGCCTAATTTAGGCACCATGACTTTATGAAGAGAGCACAAGCATTCACTTTTTAAATATTTAGCAGTAATCGGAGTCTTTCGAAATAGCTACTGAAAACTAATTCCTTTGGACATACTGTGTCTGCAACGAACAGTTTCAGGAGTGCTGGGAGTTAACAGAAAACAGGCAATCAAATCTCCCTCAGGTGAAGCCTGACTTTGACATGCATCAGACTGATTTGGGGAAGGCTGCGCTCTCCACGCCATCCTAAAAACATCAATTCCTGTAATCCACGAATAAGTCCATTTCTCTTATGCCCATATTCCCTTCTGCTCCTCCTGGCAACAGGACCCGACCAAAGGAAGGCTGATGGGTCTGCGTAGTGACAGAAACCGGCCTTGGGTGAGTTGGGTCAACGACCGTATATGGATGGTTCTGGTGAATGTTTAATTTGGAGCAGGAGGTGGTAAGTTATTCTTGCCCGCGTTTCTTCCCTACTGTAAGGACAGAAGTGCAGTCGGATGATCTGCTCTATCCGTTTGAACCCAACTTTGACTGCAGACTCGGCCCCTTTCCCAGGCTTGTATGCCTGGGCTGCCTCCTCGCCAGGGATGCTCTGAACGGTGTGCACATCTAGGGACCAGGATGATCTACACTGGCAAAAGGCGGCGTGAGCGAGAAGCGGCGAGGGGTCAGCGAAGAACGGCACGGACTCGGAGGCTGAAGGATGGGGAGCACAGTCAAGGTGAGGCCTGGGGTGCTTGGGGCCGCTCCTTCCTCTTCCTGGTCTCAGAAGGGCGAACTTCGGGACGTCGCGCTTTGCTTCTGCGGTCAGGTCCACCCTGCGACCCTCTCAAGCGCGGGCCGTCTCGGCGGCGCAGCAACGCCGGGGGCCGCGGCCGTGTCGCGGAGGGCAGCCAGGGAAGGCAGCGCGGCGAGCGCGGCACAGGCGC